ACGAGCATCTCCCTCCCAGGCGAATGAATCCAGATAACGGGATGAATACGGATTTAAACCCAGGGGACAGCAGGTGCTCAACTCTCAGAAGGAGCCTCTGGGTGCTTCTGTACGGCCCTGGCCGTGGGCAACCAGACACTCACCATGTTCCCACCTCTGGTGTCCTTGCCCTGTCGGGGAGGGAGCTGGACACTTCATGACCTACATAAGACTACACATACTGACGGTGGGGACTTTTCCTCCTCCAGTCCTAACTCATTTCCATGACTGCCTATTGTCCAGAAAAATCTGTCAACAGAGAACATCTAACAGATGCAATCTTAAAATACATTCCGACCTCAAAAAGGACATTCCCTGTCCTCGATCCAAATGATTTCTATGGTGTCCATCTGTCGAAATGCTAGGTGCCTAAGTGTCCAGGGTAGGACCTCATGTAATTTCTTGGCTTCCTGGTAATTAACAGCTGGGGTTAATCCCCATCCAGTCCATTGATAAATGTCAAAAAATTACAACTGCCTTTGTAATAATGAAATGAACTCAGAAATATTCAAAAAGGCTTTGGATGCCCACTAAGATGTCTTTTTGACACCCTCCTCCATCAGGGAAACCAGTAACAGGGTGTAACATAAGAACTGAATTAACCATCATTTCACTGTCAACAAGTTCTACGTAAATAGTCCACTGCTAAGAGAACGTGCATTATATATTTTGCTAGCTTCCAACAAAAACACACACAAGATGGCTGCCTCTCCCCCACAGTGCTGCACAGATAGGTCTAAATTAGACTCCATAACCCAACATGCTGATTTCTGCCTGGTGGCTTGAACTCTGCCATGAGAATCTTAAAGGCTTCTCCATTTGGCTCAAATGCAGATAACGCTAGGAAGGGAAATGAGCCCTGCCTCTATCCCCTAAGGTGAGCGAGGGTGATCTTTTTAAAAAACTGGAATAGAATTCCTTTATGGAGGTTTGACTGCAGGTAAGAAACACCAGGACCTCCTGTTTGGGGTCAGAGTTGAGGTTTCTGGGGTTTAGATTTGGGGGCTGGCAAGCTACACGGGACAGGACTCCAGGGGTTTCCCTGGTTTTGGTCACATCTGGGGCTGACGCTGCCCTCCCAGATTCTCCAGTGCAATCCTTTCACACTGATTCTCCAGGGTAGACATAATGAACCTCTGGTGATCTCTACTCTAAGATCCAATTTGAGCTTATTGGGTTTGTTTTTACAATGGGGGCGCACGTGTGACCTTGCCCCCAGAGTAAACGCCAGAGGCCTCAGTACTGCTCTGCTGAGAGAATCTGGGCGGTGGGGGGGCTGTCTCCTCCTCCTCTGAGTGATTGCCCTTTGGGAAAATGCTCAGGTCTTGATTGCTCTTTCCTGTCGTGCTCAGAGGTGCAAACAGTTTTCAAATTCAAGTTAATACACGGTAATTGTGTAACAGACTTTGAGATAACTTGGAAATTCAGGTATTTCCTGGACCAGGAAATGCTTTCTTTAAGGGAAACAGAAGTAGCCCTTCTGGGTCAGTCATGCGCAGAGCACCCCCTCTACATGAGCAGATACATCATGCTGGGCAGAGGGGGGTGTGGGGGCCAGTGTCAATGAGAAACAAGACAGAAAGGCTGCTGAGACACAAGAGCACCTCTCACGCCCTCCTGCTGCTGCACAGATGTCGCTTCCCCAATACCTCAGACTCTACGGGCACAACGACATTGGCCAATTAAAAAGTACATTTCCTGACATGGGTGCATGAAATGGCAAACACGGAAATACAAATATCAGAGAAATAGGAAGCTGCCAATGAGTGGCTGTGAGTCTAACTGTCCTCTGCACCAAACTCTCTGCAACCCCAATATTGTCCATCTAATTGTTGATAAGGGCGTTGGGCATGGGTTCCTTCAGTACTAAAAACTGCTGACATTTTCTTGTGTATTTCATTAGATTAAATAATCACTGTTTGGGTATGGCCCTAATCTTGCACTGAAGTCTTCTGAGCATGTTTCTGGTATTTTCAAAAATGCATTACTGAGAGCAAGCACTACCCAGTGAATGAACAGTGCCACTGGAGACTTACTTATAATCTTTTTTGGTTTTTTTCTAGAATGTAGGAACCAGGAGGACAGCCCCATCTGTCTCACTCATTCTTTTACTGCTTGGTGGCTCCAACAAGGTTCTTCCATGGTATAGGCTCGGGGTGATGACTGCTAAATGCCTAAGCAGATAAATGGATGGATGGATGAACACCCCTCCGCTAGCTCACCATGACCACCAACAGCAGCGAGGACTGGCATGTGAAGCTGCCCTCCAGGGAACCTGACCGATACGGCGACACTGGTTTTTACACACCAAGGTGAAGAAGAATGAAGTAAAAGGGGAGAGCTGGCCCTTAGGAAGCCGGGAACCTATGTGAACAAGTTGCTAAGAATGGGATGCCAATTGTTTTTTTGATTCTCTAGACCAAGGACTGCTGAGGAAACTTTTTCTGCAAGGACCAGCCAGATAGTAGATATTTTCAGCTTTGCAGGCCATAGGGATTCTGTTGCAATTACTCAACTTTTCAGTTGTACAGCAAAAGGCAGCCACACACAATGCGTAACTCAAAGGGCACAGCCATGTTCCAAGACAGCCTCACACACGGATGCTGAGATCTGAGTCTCATATAATTCATTCTTCTTGTGAATCTTACCTCCCTCACCCCGACTGTTCAAAATGCAAAAACCTGTCTCAGCTCATCAGATTTGGCCCAGGGGCTGCAGTTCTCTGTCATCCTTCTAGTAATCCTCGCAAGCTTGGAAGAAATGGAACTCTTCAGAACCAGCCCTGCCATCTTCCATTAAAGCAAAGTTGTTCAAAAAATATCATAAGGAATATTACAGGTAACCACCACACAGTAACTTCCAGAAAGATAAGCATCTCTGATTCTTATTAAAAGTTGAAAAACCTGCTTTGGGTTTGAGGTGGAACTGGAGGATGAAGGGACAACTATGAATAAACGAAATCCGCAAAGAATCTAAGAATCATCATATAGGTCTGTACCATTCCCAGGCCATGTTCACCAAAACAAAACATTAACGCTGCTGGGAGATAACTATCTGACTTACTGATCATCTAACTCCTTTCCTTCTCCGAACTGCTTCTTTTGGATAATGAGGAATAATGAATAAAAGGTTAGTTAATCATGGCCTTGCACTCAAAATCTGCAGTCTGGAATGCCAACTTAGGTGAACCATGACAGCTCTGTTCAACAATTTATTCCGGCTGATCATTAAGAATTTCATCAATTAAACACATACATGCAAGAATCTGGATCACTTTATAAAAACTGAAACATGTAAGGTCAGAAAGCAATAGCCATAGAGCTGGTCCTATTCAGTCCAGTCTTTCAGGGGCTTCCCATGCTTCAATCACAAGTGAACTCTGGGAGTGAGATAAATAAACTCCTCCTTTCCTTCTCAGTAAGCGTGTTAAATTTAAATACGTTTCCCAAGACTCATGTAAGAATTTGGGGGGGGGGGAGGCGGTGAGGCGCACAGTTTACAATGTGCCCTTTGCTTGGATAAATACCCCACTGTCCTAGTAAGTTCATATCTATAGTCTGAATGCAAAAGTACTTAAAATAACTTTTGACACATTCTGACTAAAAAAAAAAAATAAATAAGTGATCCATCATAACTAATTAAAAAAAAAATCCTTTCTATCCTGGAAAGTCACAACAAAAAGTTTAAGTGTGTTTTGGCTGATTTTTCTCTGCAACTATTTGAAGCTATAAATGACTTAACTCAGTAAAATTCCAGATGTAATTATCTACTGTACTTAGCCCAGGGCTCTTCATATATCTCGGCATTGCTGTCTTGCATACAAAATAGGCTTTTCAATGGCTGGTAACAATATAATGTACAACATTGTTTTAATTTCCCCGAGTCGGCTAACCTCTTGCCTACACTAAACCAGCCAGAGGAAGAAGCCACAGTGAGTCATCAAGCACTCAAAAGCATTTTGGAACTCGGCTGCATAAATGGGGTTTGTAGGGTCAGCCTTGTGCAATTGTACATTTTAATAATATCCATTTCTGACCCAATTTTTACTTTTAGAAACTAATTTTCTATTAATTATACCAAGGAGGGAATGATTGCTAAAACATGGTGGTTCATCAACAAGTTACATCAGGAAGTGGAACTCACATTTCAAATACACACCAACCAAATGTGATCCACGGGAAAATCTGCACAAGTTAATTTTCTCTAGTCATAAAATATGTTCTACATGGTCCAGTGGATTTCCAAACACAAGATTCTCTCCCTCTCTCTATGTATATGATATGCACATGATATATATTGTATGTACCTGAATATGCATTTGTATGTACATGTGGGTGTGTGTACATATTTAAAATGTATAGTGAACTCTCAGTTGTTCTCAGTGATGGAGAGAGAAGGGGAACAATGAAAAATGATGCATAAATCCACATACACTTTCTATTTTAACTTTGGAAAAAAGGCTTGCATGTGTCCTGGCTTGCCCCATGTTGCCCACACTCATGTTCTCTCTCGCTCGCTCTCCATTCATTCACTCCCCATATCTCTCCCCAGCTTGTCTTCCTAACTTCGGGTTAATAATATTAGCAACAGTGGGGGCTCAGACCAACAACAGATAACCAGTAAACTTAAAAAGGAAAAGAGAGAAGGGAGGTCAAGTGAGAGAGGGATGGAAAAGCTAAAAGGCAGTGAGTGGCTGAGGCTTGGCGGCATACACAGAGATGCACAGAATTGTGAGATGTCTGAGCAGCAGTGTCCAAGAATGAACTGAAGCTGAACCTTCCCAAAGAGGAAAAGAAATAAAATACAGTAACATAAAAGAAGATCAAAGGAAAAAAAGGACAACATCAGATTTTTGAACCTTCCATTCAATAATGAGTACACAGGAACTCATTACAGAACACTACAGAAATTTGGAAGTGGAGGAATACTGAGGTAATATCAAAAATAAATGTGGTTTTTACCTGTAGCTCTAACTGCTGTACAACCTGCATTTGTACTCTACATTGGGCTGTACTTCTATCGTCCAGCGCATGCTCACTGTTGAGATGT